CCCCATTCGGGGTGGAGGGGAGGGGGGTTTCCGTTGGGCGTCCCTTTTTTGGGGGGGAGGGGTTTCCCCCCGCCCCCCTCACCTTAAAAAAGGAAAAAAAGGTTTCCATTCCCGGGGGGGGGGGGGGGGGGGGGGGGGCAAACAAGGCGAGAAATTAATCGTTCAGTGCGGGTGGGAGAAGGGAGGGGCTACGCCGTGCGTCAATCTTTTGTATTGACTGGAAATCCGTCCTCTATTACCGTTGTATACGACACAAGATAACACACCCCCTGGACCCATTTTCAAAGCTCGATTACTCCACGACCAAGAGGATGTACGAACGAAACGACACGTTTTCGGAGACATCTCGACCAGAAGGCGGCCTTTTCGGCACCTCTACTCTCTCTGCTGTTGATAAGTCGAGCTTGGAAAATCGAGCCAGGGGGTGTGTTATCTTGTGTCGTATACGGTGGCAACGGGCCCGGGCGAGGGTACGGCATGGTAAAAGAGGGCACCGGGGACAAACCAGAGGGAGGGGTGTAGACTGCTGTGCAGAGTAACAAAAACAGAGGAACAGACACGAAAAACAAAATGTTTAACCGGCTTTTGTGCGCCTGGAAGGCGGAGGGAGAGACCAAGAAATGCGGCATGCAAAATAAACAAAAACATGAAGCGACGAAAATGCAGCACAACGGCAGAAGAGCTCATCAAAAAGCCAAGACAAAGCAAACAACGACAGCAACGACACATCATCGAACAATCCAACGACAAAGACGAGCAAAACAACAGCAAGCAAACAACAGCAAGAAGCAGTCACGTCAACACCCACGACAACAGACAAGCGAGCGCGCAAGGGGACACCTGGAAGAAGAAGTCTCCGCCGCCGGCCCCCCCGCCGAAGTTCTTGTCCATGACGGGCATGTACTCGGCCTTGGCGACGGTGGTAACGAGCCACTTCTGCTGCACCTCGATGGCGGGCGGCATGACGACCAGGGAGTCCATGCCTCCGGCGTTCGCCTCGGCGGCCTTCTCCTTCCTCCGGTCGGCCTCCTCATCGTGCACCTGATTGGTCGACACGGCAGTTGCGATCCAATCGGTCGGTAGTTGGTGCGATTGGTCGACGGAAAGGCGTTGATCCGATTGGTCGATAGTTGGTGCAATTGGTCAACGGAAAGGATTGATCCGATTGGTCGACGGCAGTATTGATCCGATCGGTCAATAGTTGGTGCGATTGGTCGACGGAAGGATTGATCCGATTGGTCCGCAGACAGTTGGTCATTGAATGACCGGTTGATGGGGCGCAAGCAAAGCAACCCTTGCATAAAAAGCCACGGCAAGCACTTGCCCCCTACTAGACACGCACCAAAACCGAAAAACGGCCCGGATTCGGGAGAGAACAAGCCCCCCCCCCACTACACACCATGCGTATGCACATGCGGCATGCCATCGATCGAGAGAGTAAATAAAAAAGCAAGCTACACAGGCGGTGCACAACAGGTCGTCAGTCGAGCAAGCAGGCAGGCAATCCGCCGCTAAATGTGCTGGGCAACTGGGTGGTCTGTATGTACCTTGAGCCTGTCTCCTGGCCCGACGATGGCGATGGAGAGGTGCAGGTAACCCTGGATGCCCACGTCCTCCGGGTTCTCATCGTCCACAAGCGCCACCCAACGCCTGTGCACCTCGTGGTTCTATGCCGTGAATCCACAAAAAAAAGAAATGAAGAACACAAAAACGAACAAGTAGATGAGCAAGACGAGACTCACTACAGACTCGGTTCGCGTGGGGGATCGTCGCTTTCGATCGAGCAGCTTGTCTTCATACAGTAGCTTGCGTTAGACGGGCGGGCGTCGGCGCGGGGGAGGGGGGGGGGGGGGGGGGGGGACCAACCCCCCGGGTTTTTTTTTTAAAACAAAAAAAGGGGGGTTTTTTTCCCCCCCCGAAAAAACTCGGAAAATGGGGGCCCTTTGGCCCCCCGTTAACCCGGGTCTTCCCCCCCTGCCAAAAAAAAGGGGAAAAAAAAAAAAAAAACCCCCCCCCACCCTTTTTAAAAAAAAAAAAGGGGGCACCAAACCAAACGCCCCCAAAAAAGCTTCCTTTGGGGAAAC